AAGAAGGCTGATCCTCATGGCACCAGTCGTGCTGAAGGAAAGACATGAGGCCCTAAGACACATCTTCCTACCTTGCAACGTGTGTGCAGGGATGGGAAGGCAGTTGTGACCTCTGCTTCGTGTGCAGCACATGGTGGTTCCAGTAGGGAACTGTTGCATTACATATGAGTCTTTGCGTTTCAAAGGTGACCACTTCAGTTTAATTTACTCCTTCCTACTGCTAGTCAGTGGGTAGGAATTAGGTGTCCTCTGTCATTCATTTAAGAATCATACTATGAGTGTTGTTGAAAAGGCTAAGCCACATAGAGAATGAAGTACTCCCTGGATTTGGGCTGACAAAGGTTTCTTTGCACCATCCATCTTACTTTGAATCATGCTGTTCCCATCCCAGGGACCATGTGCAGATGGCCTTAATTCCACCTATGACAATGAACCCAGTATTTACAGGGTGCCTTTAAAGGTCTGATTTAGGCTAATAAGAAATGTAAATCTCTGTGGAATTTAGAATTCATGAACACATCATGAAGTGTTTATCTGATGAAGTAGTAGAAAAGAGTGCTTATCACTTTAGATAGCATGTAGTTTGACATTTCTATGGTAGTTTTCAGCTGCATTTCAAAATACTTAATAACTTAATATGGCCTTTTGGGCTGAAATATAATAAACATTACTTCTTCAGGGAAGAGAGATTAAAAGTTCATTTCAAAATTAAGCACTTGAAGTAAAGAGATGCTTGCTTTATTTTCCCAGCAGAGTTGTTCTTATTTATGCATGTTGAAGAAGTTGGGCACACTGATGATAAAGGGGGTGCATTGAGAGTACACAGACTGCCTTCACTCTACCACACTCTCAGCTTTCAACTAGCATAATTCAAAGTTTATTTGCTTTCTTCTGCATGTTTTCTTTAAGGTACTTTTAAATTATACTGCTTGGTAATTGCTGCAATTCCCTCTCTCCCTCTCATCCTGTCTGGGCTTTGCAGCCCCAGGTGCTGCAGGACTGATCCCACATACTCAGTGCAGGAAGTAGTCTGGCATCCTTAAATGCCAAGTATTACATCCACAGGGTGTTGCTAGCTGACACGCTTGGCCCTCCTGTTCTCACACTTTAGGCTGGAAGAGGAAAGTACCAACTGTCTGTGGTGTCTAGAATCACAGAATCATAGAATGGTTTGGGTTGGAAGGGACCTTAAAGATCACCTAGTTCCAACCCCCCTACAATGGGCAGGGACACCTTCCACTAGACCAGGTTGCTCAAAGCCCTGTCCAACCTGACCTTGAACACTTCCAGGGATGGGGCAGCCACAATTTCTCTGGGCAACATGTTCCAGTGCTTCACCACCCTCATAGTGAAGAATTTCTTCCTTATATCTAATCTAAATCTACCCTCTTTCAGTTTAAAGCCATTACGCCTTCTCCTATCACTACATGCCCTTGTAAAAAGTCCCTCTCCAGCTTTCTTGTAGGCCCCCTTCAGGTACTGGAAGGCTGCTATAAGGTCTCCCTGGAGCCTTCTCTTCTCCAGGCTGAACAACCCCAACTCTCTCAGCCTTTCTTCATAGGAGAGGTGCTCCAGCCCTCTGATCATCTTCATGGCCCTCCTCTGCACTCGCTCCAACAGGTCCATGCGCATAAGAGCAGAAAGGGTGGCTGAATGGGCCACTAACTGATTAGAAGTGTTTAATGGGGCAAATCCAGCTGAGCCAAGCTCTGTAATGTGACAAAGAGACCAGGAGGCAGAGTAGAGCCTGGATGGTCTTGCCTTCTTTCTTATCTTTCTTGCTCCTTTCCCCAGTCTGCTGCTCCCAGAGTGCTTCTATCGCCAGGTGGTTCCGGTGTTATCTGGGCCAAAATCTCTTCAGGCTTTTTGAGGATGTGGCACAGAATAGCAGGAGAACGGTATGGTAACAGCATTTTGCTGATTATGTAAGCGAGATAAAAGAAGTGGAAACACTCAACCTTTATCGTGGCAAGGCCAAATGAAAATCTATGCAACAAAGAAAACTTGCTTCTCCCCGCTGAAAAAAGCTTGCAGGAAAACTTTTCCAGAGAAGGTCACAAGAACCTTTTATAATGGAATGCGGCAAACAATCTAAAGCTCTTTCTAACATAGATGAATATATAAATAACACTAAATACATGCAGTCATCAAGCATTACATTTTTCATTTCTGTGTATGAGCCAGATCTTTGCAAGAAATTAGCATTCCTTAGTTGAAATAAATTGAACTGACCAATCTATGTACCTGCAGACAGTTTGGCCCCCGGGGTCTTTTAAACTTTAGGCTAACTCGCCCTGAAGAAGTAAAAGGTACAAATGATACTGCCTTGGAAGAGTGAGTCCCTCAATAGATGTTGAAGAGCCCTCATAGAAAAAATATTTGCATTTGTATGCTTTTTATGCAAATTCTTTAAAACTTTACTGACTCTTACATACACATATCTTGGAAAAAAAGAAATATCCACAATAAGACATATATTACACAATTTCCACAGAGCCATCATCTGAAATTAAAAAAAAAAAGCCCTGCAAATTACAGTAATTCTAAAAATCAAAATAGCTTAGCCAGCTGTTAAAGAAGTGCATACATTCATCATTACTGAATGCATTACTGCTTTAAACATATATAATTCCGAAATAATCTCCTTGAAATAAACACAGCAAGAGCCATAAAACATGCTGGACCTGAAATTGAAGACAAAGCAAGCAGTACTTGTTGTATTAGAACTCTGACAAAATACATTTTAATCATGTCCAGTATTATGAATTCTAAAACAACCTGAAATGCCATTTGGCTGTCATGATTAATGTGTGCTTTATCATTGTAAACAGCTTTCTGAACATTTCTATGAAGTCTGCTTTTTGAATCAACATTTAAACAATCAGCATTGCCCTTTCTCTCTTTTTATTTTGCGGTGGTTGTGTGCGGATTCTAAATAAAGTATAAGATATCAGGATTTTTCATATTTAAGTAGAGAAAAAGAATTTAATCACAGAAAAAAGCTGGAATTCTGAATAACCTCAGGTATTAGCTTTGTTGACTTGAATGGTAGAATTTGTGCTCTCCTTATCCATCTCAGGAAATTAAAGAATTTTATGTGACATGTCTGTGTTGATCAATAAAACAACAACAATCATTTACACTGCAAGTTTAGTGCAGTTTCAAAAATCTGCATTAACCAAGCCGACAGTTGTAGCAGAATCAATAGACAAGGCATCTTGCTTAGTGGTGTGCATAAATGAAGTATGACTAAACTTTTAACATCCAATGAATACAGATTAAGATGATAAAATCCATATGCAGAATGTGTTCTGCAAGCCATGCAATGACAGCGTGCTTGAGAGTGTAATGCACAATAAAATGTTAAAAGTATTAACAAATTCATACTTTAATTTTCACTCCGCTTCACTCAGTATTTACACTGTGAGTTTGCAGTCAGCATTCATTTTATTTTAAGACCTGTTGCAAAGGGCCTTGGCAAATTTGCTGCTGTGTGTTCATCTGTCAGTTCTACAGCTTCATGTTACTTTAAATCTCTCCTCCTATTTTCCTAACCACTCATCCCCTTATTTGGCACACTTTAATCTCCTAACTAGCTCCTTTCTGTTGTCAGTGAAGTTTCTGATGTGTCACTACTGCTATAGGAGTCAATCATCTGTAGTTCATGATGCAGATAAAAGGAATGAAACTGGTTTTTTTATTAATGGTCTAATACGTTTGTGTTTAAACGACGACTCCAACTGTTATTATTTGAATCCAGATGCTTGAATCCAGAAAGACTACACTATAGCTTTGTGAGATAAAGTAAGAACCACATCAAATCATTCTGTTTCTAATCTAATCTGCTCAATCAAACAGTTTCATTAAATCTGCTTTAACTGCTGTTTTTTTTCTCAGCTTGTTGAGACTTTCCCAAAGTGCTACATTTTCTTTTTAAAAAGTTGTCTAAATGACCAACAGGATGGCATTTCCTAAATCCAAACCTACATACATATAATATATAATGCAACAATGAATATGTTGCATAGTAAAAAAAACTAATTATATGAAACATTGAATATTCTGAAGAAGCCCAAAGAACATTTATTTTCATTCACGCATATATGAGTATACCAGATCTGTATTTCCCAGACAAACAGAAATTACCAAAAACCTTAGCATCATGATGAAAATAATTGATAGTCATGCACTATAGGTGGAAACTCTTCTTACAGTAACAAAAGAATTAACCATTTTTGATGATGCATGATTAGCCAAAAGGAAAAACATCCTAAAGCTCTGAAAAATCTGTATTTCTCTCATCTGTATTTTCATTTATTCAGAGTATTGAGCTCATTACTGGTTCTTATTCAAAATAATCTAACCATTCCTGTTTTCTTCACTGAAAAGCAGGCATCTTTTATTCTAATCAATGAAGGACTTACACAGCACCGTGTATCTGGCGGTGAAATAAACCTCTGCAAATTGGAAATTCATTAACGGGTACTATATAACACTAAAGAATCCAAGCTACTGGTTTTCCAGGTTGATTTTTTTTTTCTGTTTCTGCTATCACGGTCAATTAACTGTAAATACTTTATGAATGTTACAGTACATATTGTTTAAATTGGCTAACTTACTAAGAGTTGATTAGCTTAAATTTGTGAAGTAAACAAGAAGAGTGAATATTAAAGACAGTAGCTCAGCATAAAAAATGTGATATGTCCTTGAACTTATAACACTGCAGTAAGCAATTACCTTAAAGAAGCCACCCACACAACAGAACTATGGCTTTGTTCCTTATCTTCAAAGAACAAGCCACTTGCATCTGGATCAAATCCTTTAAACAACACACGAACACTCAACATCAAAGCACTTCCGTTTTCTTCAGTTATTTAATTTAATTAGAGCTAATACAGACATGAATTTAGACACTGATTGTTTTGTAGAAAATCCCCTGAAAACATGTTCAAGAAATTAATCAGTTTGGTTTTAATTTTATAATTTTTTTCCCCCAGTACCTGACAGGAGCGCCTCTGCTCTGTGCAGGTTTCAGCAAGACTGTCACAGTGCTGTCAGTTTGATTCAAAGGTGTTTCAAGTTCATATGGTGGCATAGAGGGTGCTAGAATAAGAAGAGAAAAGAAAAGAGGCAAAAATAATAATTATTCCTGTATTTCTTCTTTCAAGAGCTGTATCTTTATTTGAATAGGTAATTCTAAAGACTTCTTCAAATATAAAGACCATATCATAGGTCTAAGATGCTTTCTGTTACAACACAAGTGTGAGACAACTGTTAAATAACTTCAGCAAAAAAAAACAAACAAAAAAACCCCCAAAGAAATCCCAGCTCACTGCCAATTTCAAGACAGGAAACAGATACTAATAGGAGTAAATTTGCAGAAAGTACTGAGAATCCGTGACTTGGAAATGAAAAGTTATCTCAAGAGGAGCATCTGCAAATGCGCATGCTGAAGTGACTATAGTTTTTGAAACGGAGCCCAGCTTTCTCAGTATGTCAGTGGTATTAGGATGCACTCTCATAATTTGTCATTCCTGGAGTTTTAACTAGTGCTGTAACTGCCCTGGGTCTATTGTCCACCACAGACATAATTTACAATAATGAAGCAGGATTGTCACCACGAGAGCTTATCTTAGTTTGAAGCCACACTCAATAGCACTTTTGCAAACTGTGTCTTCATTAAGGAATTACAGCTGTGATTGAAACAAACGATGCCTCAGTTATTGTCTTTTACTGTTGCTACTTTTTTCAGTGCTATCACTTGATGGAGTGACTACATCAGTGGACATGGGAAGGGCTACAGATGTCGTCTATCTGGACCTCTGTAAGGCCTTTGACACGGTCCCCCACAACATCCTTCTCTCTCAACTGGACAGGTATGGATTTGATGGGTGGACTGTCCGGTGGGTGGTGAGGAATTGGTTAGATGGTCGCATCCAGAGGGTAGTGGTCAACAGCTCAATGTCCAGATGGAGACTGGTGATGAGTGGCGTCCTGCAGGGGTCCGTACTGGGACCGGCTCATCAATGACATAGACAGTAGGATCGAGTGCACCCTCAGCAAGTTTGCAGATGACACCAAGCTGAGTGGTGTGGTCGACACGCCAGAGGGACGGGATGCCATCCAGAGGGACCTGGACAAGCTTGAGGAGTGGGCCTGTGTGAACCTCATGAGGTTTAACAAGGCCAAGTGCAAGGTCCTGCACCTGGGT